TATTTCAAAAAGATAGTCTTCAAGCTCCGAGATTCTTTGCACCATTTGGTCTATTCTGCTATTAATACTTGTGATTGCATTATGAAGATCTTGTAGTGTGTTTTTCAGCTCTATCAGATCAGTTATGTTCCTTTCTTTACTGGCTAATTTGGCTGTCAGCTCCTGCATTGTTTTATCATGATTTTTAGCTTCCTTGCATTACAACATGCTTGTTTAGCTCAATGAGTGGGATGGTTAATATTGTCAACTTGATTTGATTGAAGGATACAAGGTGTTGTTCCTGGGTGTGTCTGCGAGGGTGTTGCCAAACAAGATTAACATTTGAGTCAGTGGACTGGGAAAGGCAGACCCACCCTCTATCTGGTAGTCACCATCTAATCAGCTGCCAGCACGGCCAGAATAAAAAGCAGGCAGAAGAACATGGAAAGACTAGAACCCTGACTAATACAGTGAAGTTCATTTTTTCCCACATTCTGAAGCCTGCTTCTGTCATTTCAGCCATCTCAGCCTCACCTCAGTTCTGTACTCTTGCTGTAGAGTTGTTGAAATCATTTGGAGGAAAGGGGCACTCTGGCTTTTTGAATTTTCAATGTTTCTGTGCTGATCCTTTCTCATCTTTGTGAGCTTATCTATCTTTGATTTTTGAGGTCGTTGACTTTATGTTGTTTTTTGGTGTGTTTTTGTTGTTTCTCTTTTAGCAGTCTGGACACTCTTCTGTAGGGCAGCTGTAGTTTGCTGCAGGTCCACTCCAGACCCTAGTCATCTTGGTTTTTCCTATACTTGTAGGTATCACCAGTAAAGGCTGCAAAATAACAAAGATGACAGCCTGCCCCTTCCTCTGGAATCTCCATCCCAGGAGATTACTGACCTGCTACCAGCTTGAATGCACCTCTATAAGGTGGCTGGAAACCTCAGTTTCAAGGTCTCACCTAGTTAGGAGGAATAGGATCAGAGACCTGCTTAAAAAAGCAGTCTGGCTACTTTTTGGTAGAGCAGCTGTGCTGTGTTAAAGATACCAATTCAGCCTTCAATTTGGTTGGGCTCACCAAGGCCCACAGCCTGGACCAGCTGAGATGCCCAATCAGCCAGCCAAGATCCTGGCCTGCCCTGACCCCCAGGCACTCTGTTCCAGGGAGAAATTAGAACTCTGTCAGCTGTAGAACATTGCGGGGTGGGAGGGGGGACGGGGGAAGAGGCCCTGGGTGGGAGGACCCACCCCATGAGGAGGAGTGAATCAGGGTCCCACTTAAAGAAGCAGTCTGGTCACACCTAGACAAAACAGCCATGTCATGCTGGGGAAACACCTCTGCCCCTGTGAGCTTGGACTCTGCAAAGCCTGCAGGCTGGAACAGCTGAATCATCCAAACAACTAAGGTGGCAGCCTGCCCTGCCCCTGGGCACTCCATGCTAGAGAGAGATCAGAACTTTTTTCATAGAATACATGTGTAGGATGACTGGAGGCCCCAGCTGGGTGGTCCCGCCCAGTGAGGAGAAATGGATCAAATGGGTTCAGCTTAAAGAAGCAGTCTGGCTGTGTTCTGGCAAAGCAGCTGTGCTGTGTTGGAGGGACCCTTCTTCGTGTGAACTATTTGGACTCTCTAAAGCATGCAGGCTGGAATGGCTAAGTCGATCAAACAGCAGAGATGGCAGCCCACCCCTCCTAACAGGAGCCCCATCCTGTTTCAGGCAGGCTCCACCATGTTGCCGGTGGCTGGCTGGAATTCCAGGCCATTGGGTCTTATCTTGTGAGGTGCTATCAAAGTAGAACCTGCAGACTGATGCTGCTCGGCCATCTGAATTCAGCCACCTTCCTCGGGGTATGTATGTATCTCACACCTTGCCTGCGTTGCAGACACCTTTGTTGGGAATCCTGAGACCAGAGTGTGTACATCTCCTGGGTCTCTGTGTGTGTCTGAGCAGCAGCTCTGCCGAGACTCCACACCATAGCTCTCTGTGTCAGACCCAGGCTCTGGTGGTGTAGGCTCACAAGGGGATCTCCTGATCTATTGGTTGCAAAGATCTGTGGGAGAAGTGTGGTTTCCCAGGGGTCAAACTTTCACTCACCACTTCCCTTGACTGGGAATGGGGGTTCCCTCGGCTCCCTGTTTCTCCTGGGTAGGCCATCGCCCCACACTGCTTTTCTTTATTTTCTATGATTCAAATTGTTTCTCTCATCAGTCCCAATGTGAGTACGTAGATATTTCAGTTGAAGGTGCTGGATTCACTCTCCCCATTCGTTCGTCTCCGTGAGCGCCACAGACTGCAGCTGTTTCTAATTGGCTGTTTGGCCCCGCTTTGTGGGCCAAGATAGCCAGTTAAAAACAGCTGCAGCTCTAGTTTTGAAGTTTCAGTGCTGTGTAGTATTCCATGGTATGATCATTGCACAATTTTATTTTTTTCTTTTCATGTTGTTGAAAAAGACATGGAAAGAAAATTTAGAAAATTTTAATTTTTCCCTTTATGAATAAGTGGTTAATACATGGAACAACAACTGACATAATTATAGTTGGAGACTTTTAAGACCTCTCAGATATTGATAGAATATGTCAAAATAGATAGTTAATAGATAGAACAAGTTAAAACGTAACTTCTGGGAATATAAGGAATACTGATGGAGGAGAATTAATGCATTCTTAATGGCTACCTGTGACCTGGCATAAGGATCAGAATACTGAGGACCCCCAGTCACAGAATGTTTCTACCTACCCATTAACCTTTACCTATGTGTATTCATGGAGAGCAGAGACATAGCAGGCTGAAGGCCAGGGGAATGTCGCAAGAGCTAAAGAGCACTCTGAAGTACAACCTTCATTCCCCATGTGCACAGAGGCAGCTTATAGAAGTCTGGGTTCAAGTAGGAGAGCAGTGAGATTCATCCAGAGCACGCAGAGCTTTGGCTAAGTGCAAAGTAGAAGCTTGCGGAAAACTGGATGGGGCAGGAGTCCTGAGAGGCAGCCTTCTGCAGTTCATCAGACCTTTGTAGAAAGTGCTTCAGATGCCCACTGAATGCTGGGGGAAGGGAATGAGTGGAGAAGGGATATACTGAAGCCGCAAACCCCAGATCAGGAGCCCAGAAGGCAAAGAGAACTCAGTGACTTAAAGGGTTAGCTACTAGGCTATAAAATAGGAAGAGACCACCTGGTTTAGAAATCTGCAGTCTGGGCTATAAAGCTTAGAGGGTCTTTCAGAGTCTGACCATTCTCAGATTCTAAGCCATATTGAGCTAAAAACCCTAATCCTGTGGTCAAATCACTTGAAGCCAGTCAAAACCGTCTAACCAGATCTGCAATAAAACCCAGGCAGATCAACTACAGTTCAGGTTGGTTTAGCCTCATCCCTGCGTCCTGCTACACTGGCAAACACACTGTGGAGGGACGTACTGTGTATGTGAGACCAAAAGCAGGAATAACAGTTGGCTTCTCATCAGAAGCAATGCAGGCCAGAACACAATGGAGTATCTCTAAAATGCTGACAGGAAAAAAAAGTTTATTCAGAATCATATAATATTATATTATAGAATATGAAATATAAGCAAATTATCCTTCAAAATGAAGCAACATAATGGCCTTTTCAGATAGACAAATGCTAACTGGTTTCCTGCACACCTGTGGTATAAGAAACTGAAGAGTTCTTCACGCTGGAATGAAATAGTTCATAAAAACCTGAATCTACTAGAAGGAATACAGAAGCAAAGCTTTCCAAAAAAACTATTAAAAACTGATCTTTGTGTGAGACAAAAAGAATAAGCCATTCATTTAAATGAACTTTAAATATAAAGACACAGATTGAAAGAATTAGAATGGAAAAGATATGACATGCAAATGATAAGCATAAGAAGGCTGGTGAAACTATACTCTTAATTAAAAAATGTACCTCAAGAATAGGAGAGTTACTAGAGATAAAGAGAGAAACAACAATTTCTAGAACTAATTACAGTTGGAGATTTTTAAGACCTTATCTCAGAGATTGATAGAGTAAGTTGAAATAAAAATCAGTAAGGATATAAAGGATTTGAACAATATTATCAACCAATGTGACCATAACTGACAATTATAAAGCACCACATCCAACATTTAAAATCTGTATTCCGTTCTAAACTTTATTTTTTTTATTTTTTTTTTCCCATTTATTTATTTTATTGCATTTTAGGTTTTGGGGTACATGTGAACAACATGCAAAATTGTTGCATAGGAACACACATGGCAGTGTGATTTGCTGCCTTCTACCCCATCACCTACATCTGACATTTCTCCCCTTGCTATCTCTCCCCAGCTTCCCACCCCCGTTCTAAACTTTATATAAAACATTCATCATATGCAGGGTCATAAAACAAATGACAATGCATTTCAAGGAACTGAAATCACACAGAATATGTTTCTGGCCACAAGAGTAATAGATTAGAATCAATAACTATGAGATATCAGAAAAGTCCCAAAAAACTAAAAAAGAAGGAAAAAAAAAAAAAAGGAAAGGCAGGAAAGAAAGCAAGAGGGAAAGAAGAGAGAGAAAAAGAAGGAAAAAAAAGACGTATTCCAATTGTACTGTGAAGCTACAGAGTAATCAAGAGAATGGATGGTATCAGCATAAGTACCAAAACTGTGTCAAATAGAAATATACCTACACGTCCATAATGAACTGATTTTTTTTTTTTTTTACAAAGCTTTCAAGTTAATTCAAAGGAGGAAATTAATGTATTTTTATAAATGGTCCTAGGAAAACTGACTAGTCACATAAAAACCCCCGAATTTCAATCCTTGCCTCATACTGTAGGATAACAAAAAATAACTCAAGATGAATTACAATTTTATAGGAAAATTTAAACTGTTTAACTTTCTAATTAAGACACAGGAGGATAACTGGGCAACCTTAGGATTTCATGGGTAGAAAACAATTTTTTTAGATTGCAAAAAGCATGTAATATCAAAGAAAAAATAAATTGTACTTCATCAAAATAAAAATTTTCTGTTCATCAGAAGATACAAAAAAGAAAATAAGAACTGCGGCCGGGGCTCAACGCTCGGACTAGGTGCTAGTGGCGTCGGCAGGTTCGAGGCGATTCAAGCTCCAGCTAGGATGATCGAGGTTGTTTGCAACGACCGTCTGGGGAAGAAGGTCCACGTTAAATGCAACACGGATGATACCATTGGGGACCTTAAGAAGCTGATTGCAGCCCAAACTGGCACCCCTTGGAACAAGATTGTCCTGAAGAAGTGGTACACGATTTTTAAGGACCACGTGTCTCTGGGGGACTATGAAATCCACGATGGGATGAACCTGGAGCTTTATTATCAATAGATGAGAATTCTCATCTTCCTGCTGCCCCACCCTCCTCACCCATCCTCATCCCCCACACTGGGATAGATGCTTGTTTGTAAAAACTCACCTTAAAAAAGACTTAGATGTTGGAAAAAAAAAAAAAAAAGAAAATAGCAAGCTACTAAACTGGGAGAAAGTATTTGCAATAAATATATTTGACACAGAACTTGTATCCAAATTATACAAAAAACTTCTGCAAATAATTAAAGGACAAACAACCCAATAAAAAAAAGGAACAGACATTTAGAAAAAGAAGACCCACAAATGGCCAATGAGTATATAAATACATACCAATGAAAATGAAAACCACAAGGAGTAATTTTCACCTACTAGAATAACTAGCCTCAAAAAAACAACATATTAAATATTGATAAGAATGTGGTATCCTTGGAACTTTCAATCATTGCTGATGGGAAAATGAAGCGATTCTACCACAGGCAATTTCTCATAATCCTAAATACACATTTACTGTATGAGGCAGCATTCTGTTTTTCTTTCTTTCTTTTCTTTTTTTTTTGATATTTAACAAATATAAATAAAAATATATGTCCACAAAAGACTTGTACAAAAATCTTTAAGCAGGCTTAATCATAAAAGCTTCAAGCTGGAAGCATTCCAAATGCCCATTGATAGGTGAATGGATCAACAAATTGTGGTGTGTTAATATAGTGGAATAATACCCACCCCATAAAAGGGAGCAAACTACTGTTACATACAACAGCCATGTACAAATCACAAAAAATGCTATGTTGTATGAAATAAGTTAGATGCAAAATGATAACACAACTGTAGGATACATATACATGAAGTCCCCAAACAAGCAAAATGAATCTGTGGTGATAAAAATTATGCCTCTGGCTTAATGGCTTAATCTGTGGCTCATGCCTGTTATCCCAGCATTTTGGGAGGCCGAGGAGGGCAGATCACCTGAGGCCAGGAGTTCAAGACTAGCCTGGCCAACATGGCGAAACTCCCTCTCTATTAAAAATACAAAAAAGTTAGCTGGGCATGATGGCAGCACCTGTAATCAAAGCTACTCAGGAGGCTGAGGCAGGAGAATCGCTTGAACTCGAGAGGCGGAGGTTGCTGGGAGCCAAGATTGTGCCATTACACTCCAGCTTGGGTAACAAGAGTGAAACCCCATCTCATAAAACAAACAAACAGACGAAAAGTATGCCTCTGAGAAACAGAAGGAGTTGACTAGAAAAAGAATAAAGAAGGTTTCTTGGCTGATAGAAATGTTTTATATCTTATCTTGTGTTGGATTTTAATTACATGATTTATATATTATACAAGTGTCAAAACTCATCAAACTGACCACTTAAGTTCTGAATGTTTTATTTTTTTGTTATATGTATATTATACCTCAATAAAAGTTTAAAAATTAAAACAAAACAATGGAATGAAGCCACTCAGGACTGTGAGGAAGCTGTTGCAACAATTCAGGCAAAAGGTAAAGATTTCCTGGACTAATGCAGTGGACATCAAGAGGGAGAAAAAGGAAGCAGGAATTTACTCTCAAGTGTCTCTCTCTAAAGTCTGGTACTCCTCAGACTACAGTCAATCTGTGTCATATGAGGACCTGTGATGGAAGAGCAGAAGCTGAAAACTAATCTCAGAATCTGCTAGATTTGTTCTGGCCCCATTTTGTTTACAGGAGATTTAGATGATTGTGTGAAGTGAGGTGTTACTGGATCCTTTCTCAGGTCCATCCACAGACTGCATAGACTCAGTAATCTATACGCTTGTCTTCCCTTAAGTGCATGGCTATAAAGAGTCTTAAGGTCTGAGCCTCACCTTCTTCATATGTAAAATGGAGATAATAATAGTGTATTTGTAATAATATTGTTAGGATAATTAAGTGAGCTAACACACTAAAGCACTCAGTATAACAATTTATTATTCAAGGCAGTTGTTCACTGTGATATTCTTGCTATCTTTTTGTATTTTCCTATTTTGACCTTCTTTTATTCAGTACCTTTTAGCATTTAGGAGCCTATTTTATAAAACTGTTTACATATGCTATCGGGGCTGGGGTTTCTCCTAATATGTACAGATCATTAAAAGTTATTGTGCACTGAAACAGCATACTTGGTACTTAAAGTTTGCTTGTTGAAAACACAGATAAAGGAAATACCCAGTTAAGTTTTGGTGAAAGACAGCCACAGACTGGGGTCTAAACATCTCTCTCTGCTCTATTTCTTTTCTCTTCCCAGCCATCATCCATGGAAAGTCAAGATTAGCCTCCTGGATGGATTTGTGCGTAGAGCCTCTCCTCCAAACCAGAAAAGCCACTGTGTACCTGCTTGCCCTATTAGCATACCATGTGCCCAGGAGTAGACAGGTAATTGTGGGACCAGAGACAGATTAACCCATCACCTAAGGTGAGGCAGCTGAGCTGGGAAAACCAGAAGTCTATTTAATTTCCTGGTTACTTTTATAGTGATTGAAACTAAAAGCTATTTATTTATTATGTAAGAGATAGGCTCTCATTCTGTCACCAGGCTGGAGTTCAGTGGCACAGTCATAGCTGCCTGCAGCTTTGAACTCCTGGGGCTCAAGCAGTCCTCTTGCCTCAGCCCTCCCGATAGCTAGGACTGCAAATGGGTGCCACTATGGCTGGCTAATTTAAAAAAAAACTAAATAAAACGATGTGCTTGGGAATGTGAAGAGTGTGTGTGGGTTGAAAATGAATCTTCCTTCCAGTGAACAGCAATTTAATACAACTGAAACTTCTGACATTTTCTAGCTGACATTGATAGCTGTCTGGTCCGTCCAGATGATGGGTAACAGACTACTTGAAGTGAAAATTCCAAATGAGCTATGGGCGGTGAGCAAATTTTTGCCTAGTCGTGCTGAGTGTCTTGCAGTGTAATGCTGTTTTGGCATCGTGGGCTTAGTAATCAGCTGAGGTTCTCAGTGTACCTTAGGTGGTGCAGTCCCAGGATGCAGGGGTACAACACAAAGCAAAAAGCACTTTGAATGGGATGGGGCAGGTGCTGGTAATGAAGGAGAGTGCCGCTCTTCATTGTATCCTGAGTTCTATGACAAGACTATCAACAACCATATAAGATTGATATGAATATTAAATGAGAGAATATAATATGCTCAGCTGGAAGGAAAGATAAGGGCTTCTCTGTAATATGTACCTGTTATTTTGCAAAGTCTGGTCACCATAATACAGGGAAAGAAATCCTTACCTTTTCTAGTTGAACATCTCATATGTTAGTTAATCCTCATATCAATTTCATACAGTGGTATTATTTCTAGAACACAGAAAGAGAAATTGAGGCACAGAGTGTTTAGATAAGTTGCTCAAAGTCATGCAAGCACACTGTGAAAGAGCTGAGATTTGTGTAAGTTCTGTCTAATGCCAAAAGTGATACCTTCCACTCTGTGATACCTTCCATTTCTCTGCCCTTTCCTGTCCCCCAATTTGGCTCTTGGCTCCTTTGCTCTTGCTGTAACTTGCTCCTCATGCCTAAAAGGCCCTTTCCCTTCCTCTTCTCTCAACATGTTCTCAACAAGAAAACATGCCAGCTTTCCTGTTGACAACTCATCATAAGAGGAATAATCTCTTTTAGCGCTGTTGTACTGCCTGCTTGCCACACACCAGTGAGTCCCCATAATCTTTGGGGAGGACATTTAATTTTTGAACGTTCACTGCCCTTAATTTTGACTTCTGGTTGCATTTTTAGTATTCTTTTCCGGTGGACTGCCTCGTGACCTGTGAAACATCAGCATCCAATCACTCTAAATTGCGCAAATGCCCCCATGTTTTTTTCTGGTCTGTATCTATGCTAGCCCTGATGTTGGTATAGTTCCCAGAGGGTCTTTTACAACCTCTTTTAGAAAGTTTTCATTGACAGCCTCAGGCTAGGTTCATGCTATTCCTTTCTGTTCCCTTAACACTGCATAGTTTATTCTGTCAAAGGATTTTTTGATTCTCTAGTGACTTTTTCAATTTACTCATCTAATTTTCCAATTATATTACAAGTATCTTGAAAGCAGGAGCTATAACCAACTCAGTTTGTTATCTATAGTGCTTGGCATATGAACAGGCTAATAATAGGAATGCAGTAAATGCTTAAAAATAATGTGACTTGAATGTACTAATTTCTTTAACAAGATGTAGAGAGGACCTATGATGTGCAAAGCCCTATGCTAGACTTTAAGAATGCTGAAACCAAAAACATAGTCACTGCTCTTAAGTGGCTCACAGATAGTAGAGAAGCTGATATTTAAACAGATATTTGGGGCAATGTCCCATGGGCTAATGTAAGTGAATGTTTGCTATTGTGGGAACTCAGAGGAAAATGCCTAGGAAATGAGGAAAGCTTTTTTCTCTTTAGTTTATAGAAGACATTCTATTCCATAGTCCTGAAGAGCCTCTTTTGCACTTAGATGGAAATTAACAAGTTATTACCTAGTGTTTGATATTGTTTGTTCTCACACCAATCTTCTTGAGTACAAATCTTAGTATGTGATCTTGGGTAAAATGTACTTTCTCTGTGCCACAGATTCCTCATTTGTAAAACAGGAGTAATACACTGCCGGGACCATCCGGTCCACCAAGCAGGGCAGGGGCTGGGGGTTGTGCTGCTGGGTTTCTTTCTCTGGGTTTTCAGTTGGAATGTGACTGGGCCATGCTTGTTTTGTGTTTAAACGCTATACTTAATACAAGAAGAAACTATTTTTTTAACACTGTATATTTATAAAAACAGATCATATACTGTGTATACAAAAATCTCAAGATGGTAGAGACATGTATGAATGTACTAAGTAGCACTAAGTATTCCACCATGCTTATTCGTAAGGTAGTTTTTATTACAAAACTCACAGTAGGTACTTACAAATGTACCCTGTTTCTTTCCAACTGTGAAAACGGTGTCACTGCTTTCTGGTTCAGTCCCTGCAGATCCTTCTCAACCCTTTTCCTATAGGTAATTTTCTTCTGCATCCTTCCCCCTACCTCCTACATAAATAAAGGAATCAGCAAACCCAAAATCAATATGGATAATAAATGTATATGTCTCCTACATAGGATTGTAAGGATGAAATGTGGATATCTTGATATCTTTGAATGATGTCTTGCATTCAATAAATGCTAGCTTTGTTAGTCTTTTTATTACAATAATTACTGTTGTCCTCAGCAAACCAGCCAACTCTATAATTCTGAAATAGTCCCTTTCAATGACATGAAAATATAGAGTAGCAGCTCCAGCCCTATATTTATGTTCATGCTTGTGCCATAGACATTTGTGATGGGGGCACACACAGTGAGAAAGAGACACAGATTCTGTTTGCATTCCTTGAGAGAGCAAGCATTTTTAAGAGCTGGAAACTGAGAGTATAAACAACAAAGGTATTCTTGAATTTCTTGCTCAAAGTCCTGAAGAGACTTCTTAAATTTTGAGAGCTGGAAAGAGGAGGAAATATTTATTCTTTGCAACCTAATAGCAGGAGAACTGTCATGCTACAATTCACCTTTCTCAACTAGATGAGAAAAACAGGCTCAAATGCTTTCCAATGTCTTGAATGTTTACTGAGAGATGTGAAACTGGGAGAGTCCCCTGGTCCCTGTTTGTAGCCTCATTATGCTTTCTCCTGGAATGTTCTGAATTCCTCTTGCACTTACAGAGATTGGTGGATACAGCCTTGGCTCATCACAGCCAATTCCAGCACACATCTCCCTCTGGGACTTTTCACTAGCTCCTGAACAAATGGCACATCCCAGGTGTAATTTTACAACCTCTTCTTCCATCCTCCCCCACCTCCACATTCAAGTCTTGAAAATTACATTTTCTAGTCTTCAATTAACTCCCAAATTTAGACTTCCTCTACCTTTTGCTTTATATCTCCCAAGGTTGCAAATGTATTTCATTCCAACACTGAAACAATTTGAAATAACTAGCATATCTTACCTGGAGAGAAAGGGCTCTTGGTAGCAATCTCCCTGTGGTCTATCCAACTATTTCTAGTTTCTTCTTGATTTAGAGTCTGTCATTGTGAATGGGGACCCACTGTTCTCAGGAAGAAATCTGATATTCTCAAGTAGCCCTAGACACCTTCACTGGCTGCCTCCCTTTTCTTTCTCTATTCTCGTCCCACAACCTCTGAGGACTAACCTCACACATTTCCCCCATGCTACTTGGCCTAGGGCTTGCTTCGCTCCTCCATGCTGACCTCTCTTTCCCCGCTCCTGGTAACCTCAAGATGTTAAATGCTGCAGTATCTCTGGCTCGGGCTCCTTTTCTGGCCCCAGATTCTTTCATTCTCCCTCTAAGACACTGAAGAAGAAGGAATGTTCATTTATAATGCCTAATTTCTTTAACTTTTTCTTCCAGGCTCCTTCAGATGACATTTTTGCTCATGTTGCCTTAAAAATGAAATGACCTTTTCTCAATTGCCCTAAAAGATGTGGCATTTCCCCAGAATTAGATGAGATTAGATCCTTAGGTTGTTGCATTGGATGAGAAATAGTTTTAACAAAGTTGGTGATGGGTTGTATATCAAAACAGAGAAGTGGGAGGCACTCGCTGCTTTGGAGACAGTATCCTCCTTCCACAATGGAATTTTTGGCACGATCTTCAAGTTCTTGAGTTTCTTTTTCTCTTTCCTTCCCAGAACTGCAGGAAAGAGTAATTTTATATTATTTAGGCTTCTCATCACCACTACTTTATTGTCCTACACACTTTGTAACATGCTGTAGGTGAAACCTGAATATCATACAAGGCTTCAGAATCAGGAAAATGTGTTCAATGACGATTCTAATTCCTCTGGCCCAGATATTAAATCATGTTATTAATAGTATCTTGTATTTGGTGTGCTTTTTTATTTCTCCAGTATACTTTCAGACACATTCTTATTTGATTTCAAAAGTTGCTTTACCTAATTTCTGTTCAGGAGTTGTCTTCTGATTGAGTGGCTACAATGTGGTCAGAGGGACGTATGCCTCCACCTACCAATGTGAAAAATAAAAACCAACAGACACAAGACACTTAGGTACACAGTGATTTTTGGACTAAGTACTAGGAATACAAACCCAAATAGACCTAGTTCCTTCTTTCAATGAACTTGCATGCTGGGCTATACTCAGAATACTTGGGACCCACTTCTGTTGAGTTTATAGAAATGTGTGTGAATGCAAGGCTGGATTATTAAAAAATTTCTCACTTATAAAATGATTTTTATAAAATGTCTCACTTATGTTTCTTCCTTTTATAATAATATAAATCACATACTTTGTAAGACACTAAAAATATTTTATAAACAATTTTTGAAACCAAATATAAATGTGATCGTTCATTTTACAGTAAAATTCACAACCAGGTTATGAGGAATTAAGAGACTTTTGACAGATAGTCTGGATGTTGGGATGTGAATATATATAAATAAATATATCTACATGTATAAATTTATATAAATACACACATACATATAGATATATTTCAGGATAAACATGATATGTAATAAATTTTGTTTGAATATTTTGCTCTCTTTGTAGATAAATAAGTAAAGTTTTGTTTATCCTAGTAAAGGAGTACTTCCTAACAGGATTCTATTCATTGCAATGATAGGGGACTAGTAATTCTAAGCCGGAGAACTGGTGTGTCTACTGTTATCACTTATCACAAAGACCTTAGTGTAGGATGTACTCCTGGGAGAAGGCTCATAGGGAGAGAGATTTTTGTGATGGAGTAATCCAGATGTTTGAACAGCTGTATTAGTAGAGTTGTTTGGACAATTTTACACAATAATATTTTGTGATAAAGTTTTGGTATGTGAAATGGCCATTGTTTCTCAAAGTTCTTTTACTCAGAAACAGAACATGAATTTGTAGCGGGTCACAATTTCATTGAGAAAATGAAATATTTCCTTCTGAGATGTTACACTAAAACACAAATGGCTTTTGCTCCATCCTAGACATTCATGTGAAACAAAGCATTCTGCTAAGAAGAAACCCATAAGGGCTTTTTAAAATAGGATACACTTTGATTATGATCCAAGGAAGAACTGATAGTGAGAGATTAAAACATTTCCAGGGAAATTTATAGCTTCCTGCATTTCTAAGGTTACTTTGTGTCTTAATGGTCAGGCATAATTTATATTTTCCATGGCAGAAAGATGCATGGTCAGAGATTTTCTCTGCTACTCAGAATCTTGGTTGATTTAAGAGAGGAGATGCTATCTCATGAAGTACCAAATGGAGCCAAGACTTGTACACTTCACACAACAGCCAAGTCTGTCTGTATATGTTGACACATTTTATAGACAGTACTTTTCTGAGATCTTGATCAAGATCAGAATAAAAATACAAATAATAATAGTAAGATTAAAAAAAGGATAGGATAAAAGGAGCAGAAGAATAAAGAGAAATTGCTACTGTGCCAGTAATGCTAAGATTAGCATCGGCAATTAATAATCCTAGGGCTTCTGTAATTCTAGAGTGTGTGTTAACTAGAGTCAACTCAGCAAATGTTTATGGAGACTATGTGCCAAGCATTGTGCTAGACACTGAAAGATTAGAAAGATGAATCAGACTCAGCCCTTTATGATACAGTTGGGAGACTCTCCCTTGGGAATTATTTCCAAGAATAAAAAGACATTAAATGTGACAGAGAAGCACAAAGAAAAATACTATGTGAACAAAACCTGGCATTTATGCTAGATTTAGAGATTGGGAAAGCCACATGGAGAAAGAGAGACATGCAAAAGAGTTTACAGAAAGTGTGAATTTTGGTGAATGGATATAAAAAAAAAGCAAAATATGGCATGCACAATTTGTGGAGATGGGGTATATAGTGCTAGAGTATGAAGAAGTCTGGGTACAGAGAATAAAGGATGCTCACTGGGGACTGTGGCAAGGAAATCTGGGTCATCATTAGAATCTGTTCTCATTAGTAACACTAGAGTGAGCTTTGCTCTAGTGCAGATTTAGAATAGGCCATACGCTAAAGACTGCTGTAGGTGAGCACTGGTTTGAATCCCACCTCCCTCTTTGTTCCACTTCTCCAAGCTGCCATCCTGTGGTTCATTCTGGCATGAGCTTCTCTATATGCTGCAATAGATTTTAGGGAAGCTGAAAAGGCCTTTCAAAGAGAAGGATCCCCTGCTGGTGAAAAGACCAGGCGACATGCTGAGCCAAAGAGGGTGCCTGCCTTTTTACTTAATTTCTGTTCCAATGTGACCATCCTTGGACCATGCCTATCTTCTGCCTGCCTGCATGCTCCAGATCCTTTTCATTTAATTTTTAGACATAAGGTGTCCTTAATCATGGACTTTAAGGATTTGTGCTTGATCCTGAGAAGTACTATGAAGCTGTGGACAAAGACTCTGGCTCTGTGTGAGTTCTGCTTACCGGCTATGGCCTAGAAGGATGCTGTGCTATGTGTGTAAATCAATCATTGTACCCTGGTAGCCATTAAAATAATTGGACTGGGAATCATTGGCTTTGGCTTCTGTCATGGTTTGACTAAGACTGAGACTTATTACCTTGGGCCAGTTACTTAACCTATTTGACCTCCAGTTGTGTCTTTTGTAAAATTATTTGGTTTGACTTGATCTCCAAGTTTTCTTCCAGCTCTAGTTTTTATTGTTGTTCTACAAGGAAATTTGGACTGTATGGTTTTTAAAACATGAAGAATCCAAGAGTGGCTGAAGTTTCACGTTTCATATTGACTTGTGCGTTAAATTTACTTTTAGCCGATATACTTCAAATATGATATGATGGCAAACATGTCAAGTCATTCTTTCCTTGCAGTATAATTCTAGTATAAGTCATTCATCCTGCCAAGGAGGAAAAAAAGTCAACTATTTTTGTAAACAAACAGCTGATGGGCACGTTAAGTTTATTTAAATTTTGAAAGTCTTTGCAGAGGAAGTAGTATCTTGTAGTGATTAAATCAAATAGCTATATTAGAAATTCCTTACCAAAATCAGATATTTACAGTGAATTTTGCTGTGGAATGTTGGCTGGTTTTTGTACAGTTCTGAGGTTATTTTGCTTCATCTTGAAAGTAGCAGGGTATTAAAATACAGTACCGTGAACATTTTACCCTGAAGCTTAGCTGCCTTTTATTTTAGAGAGGAAAAGGTAAAAACTTTGGAATATGGTTGTGTAATGTAGCATAATGCAGTATAAAGAGGAATGCCTACATATTTAATACCCCACAAATGGAACTTCAGAAAACCACAGTAGCTCTTAAATGGTGCATTGCAAGAATAAAAACATGATCCAACCCTGAAAGCATTCCTGCTGGGTGGCTAGATGTTACTGCCTTTTAGGCCTGACTTTTCTCAGGGGTAAGGCAGACCTTGTACAGCCTTTTATAGAGTGAGGCCTAGATTGTTCCATTATGCTTAGGAAAATATGAAAAACGAGCTAAGTATTTCAGCAAATTTTTAAGCTAATTGAATCAGTAAGGCAGAAGCTAAGAGTGGGAGAATTTCTAATTCTGGTCCTTTGCTTTCGGCAATGATATTGGAAGCTAATGCATAAAGTATGAGTTATAAATGCCTGTTTACTTGTCTGCCTTCCTCACTAAACTGAGTTGCTTGAAGAAAGGGACCTTGGCTTATATGAATGCATATTTCTATCTGTATAACTAGTATATGAATGGAACATAATGGGCCACCAGTGATTATTTGTAGAATAAAATAGAAAAAATAATTCAATAGAAAAAAATCTTTAGAGCAGAGTAAAATAACAAAAGCAATACATGAATGAGAGGAAGAATGAGGTAACGTTTTCAGCATAAATAGTAGGAATTACTAGCATGTGAAATGAAGGATTCCTTGGTGCTTGTTAGCTTTCCTTAATGTTCTGTTTAAAATGCATCCATATTTGTTGGACCCTTATTTTTTGTACTGGGAGGAAATCTTGTAAAATTGGGGTTTTTACATTTCAACAAAGATGGAAGCTGATCCTAGAAATTAAATACAAATTATCCCAAAAGTATCATTCTTTGGGAAGCAGTATACAGGATGGAGTTGTCTCTTGGGACCTTTAGATGCTTCAATTTAAAACTTTTAAATTTAAAACTTCAATTTAAAACTTAAAACAAATACAACTTTTTACTACCCTTTTATTGACTGTTCTTAGGTTGGCGTTTTCATACTAGTTTTCTTCCGATCCATCCTAGGGAAAAGTGGCTTGATGTAGCATAGGGAGAGAATACTAAAGCCCTGGAAATCACTGTATTTGGCATTCTGGGGTACACGGTGGGTTCATAGATCAGAATATATTTGAGTGTGTGTGTGTGTGTGTGTGCGCGCGCGCGCATGTGTATCTATTTGGCTTGTCTATTTGGCTGACTTAATACTACACATTAAGACTTGGAAATATATAAAGTAAAAGAAAATTAGAGGAAAGCTATTTTATTCTCTGCTTTCTGATATTGATTTACAACATCAAAGCAAAGACACAAAGATTGGTGAGATATTTAGCAATCAATTTTCTATATCTGTTTTTAAGTATGTTTCTGGTTTATAACTGGTGTCTTAAAAATTGGTATGTGGTTTAAATGCAGATTTTACACTTTAAATTGAGACCACCATCTCAGTTTTGAAGTAGGAAATTCCTAAGATAACATTATTTTATAAAAAATGAGGTCCCTCAAATGGTAGACAATTAATCCCAAGGCTTTAATTGTCATCTAAAAGCATAAAGAATAAAGTGTGCCATTTCCTTTTTTATCTTTTTCTTTGGACTTTGTTTTAGAGAAATTAATTTCCTTATCAATTCTGCAGACATAGTGCTAGCTTATATCTTCAGAGTGGATGCTATCAGTTTTAGTACATTCACTGAAGTTAAACTATCTACATTGAGTAGGAGAAGGGATTTTTTCTGGCATTAAACCCAAACAGAATCGTAGTAAAATTTATAATAAATCCACTTCATTATTGCATTATATAAATGCTGTTAATCTTAGAAATGGCTTTTAAGGTGGTGTCCTTTTTATATTTTGATACCATAAACATAAAACATGACAGAAAATTGGAAAAATGAAATTCATTCATTGGAGTGTGTTGTTATGGTTGTGTTTTTCTCCCCTGGCCATTTTAGAGGTTAAAGCTAAGGAAATGTCTCTAATTTTGATGTTCATTAGGTGCAATCTAAATATGTTTCTTGGTAGTAGAGATTATGTGGAAATAACTTTTATTAAATATTTACTTTTGAGATTAGAATTCTTAAGCTTCAGGTACATTTGTAATCATTACTTAAAGGCGGAAGAAGTTGCTTTGTAAAATTTAAATCTGGAAATGTCCCTGATTCAGGAAAAAAAGAATGAATTTATCCTGGGTCATCCAGTATACTTAAAAATTTCTTTTAACAACAGTTATGTATTGAATACTACAGAAAATGGGCTGGGCCTGACTGCCTTTAACAGGTGCATAATCTGTTCTCTTCTTACACCATCTCCCTATCCAAACATCATGTTAAGGGCTTGGATATCATTCTTCTTGGCCATAGCATCCTGTTTATATGTCCATCCCCAAATTTTATTCTATTAATTAGGACAAAATATTGAACTGCATGTTTGTCTTTCCAACCAGTCCCTGAGATCTTCAAAGTCAAGAGCAGTGCTTTAATCTTGTGTTCCAAGGAAAAAAATACATGGATCTTGACAGTAAATAAACTATCCCATATTTTGGATCATTAAATTGTTTCCTCTGCTCCCATTTTGCCTTATGTAACGTTGCAACAGATTTTTTTTTCATATTAAGCTTGGTTTTCTTTGTCAAATTTTCTTTGTATAATAATAATAAGCATTTACATTTATATTTTGTGCTTTAATTATATTGCTAAGTATTTCACCTGTGTTACATTAATCAATCCTCATAGTAATCTCTAAATTGATTACTATTTTCTTTTTACAAGTAACTTAGTATTCAGAGAAATTAACAATTCATCCAAGGCTACACAGTCAGTAAGCAAATCCAAAACTATTTGATCCCAAAGCCTGTATTATTATACATTATTCTATATTTACTTATTTTCTGATAGTAGAATAAATAAGTCAAAATTAAGAATAATAAAACTATTAGTTTTGCTAATGAATGTGATAAAGATCTAAGATTCTTGAAAAACTGAATGTCCTACAGGAAAGGGAACATAATGTTTTGCTGCAGGTGTCAAAGCTTTGCATGGGGTAGCTTCCTTAGCACTTGACATGTGTGCCTTCCTATGTGGTCCTATGGAGAGTTCTGTACATGTGCTGAACTGGAAGTACAACGTGGCAACTCAGCACTATAGGTCATTCTGGCCTCCATGTTGTTCTAACACACCTTCTTGACAGAGAGTAGGTCAGAGAAAAAGGTGTTCTCTGTTAAGTGACACCAAGAGCACCTAGTGATCCAAGAACATCTCACTCTTGTAGCATTGAAGTCAGGATGTCAGCTTGGTCCATGCATTGATGGCCCCTGGCGTGTTTGTGCCTTTTCTGAGAAACAGTGAGGGCTGCTGCTTTATGCTAGCCAAGGACACAACTTTGAAACACAAATATCAATGTGTCTCAAGTCATAAAGCAAGGAAATAACGATTGGCCCAAGGAAGCTAGGTGACCAGTATAGACCTTCCAGAATTAATCCCCATGTGACCTATGTCCGGCTCTGTCTGAGGAGGATGGGCCAAAAGATTCACTTACTCAATGCTTTTTCACATTTGTCTGAATCTCCTAATAAATGTAGCATACATAATATAGCATAAAAGATGCACTGAAAGGGGCGAATGATACTGGAAGAGAAAGTGTCCTTAAGATGGTATAATGGAATGCAGAGACAAGACCTGTGATAGCATCATGGAGTAGCTGGTGTGTTTCTAAGTAAAATTTATCTTTTGCACAGAGGCTTCAGTTTCTTCATTTATAAAATGAGGAGGCTGGGATAAAATAATCTGTTACAATTCTTACCTGATTTTGAATTGTTATCATGGAGTATTCTATAATAACATTTAAGGGCGGGTGGTTCTGATTTAGACTGAAAGTGTGTTCAAATTCTTGTTCTACAACTTACTAACAGTGTGACTTTGATCATGTCACTGAATTTTTATGAACCCCAGTTTCTATTTCTGTAAAATGGAGCTAATAATACTTTTAAATTTTTTTTCATGGAAGGACACAGAGCTCAATGCCTAGTACAAAGTCATTCTATAAGAAATGAAGACATGGTAATGATGATGATGCCGTCAATGATTCTGTTTACCCCAATTTTTCATAAAAAGTCCCATCAGATGTTCAGTGTCAGTGTGCTGTATACTGTATGTATTAGTTTCCCAGGGCTACTATTATAAAGTACCATAAACTGGGTGACTGAAGCTATCAGTAATTTATGCTCGCTATTTTAGAGGATAGAAGTCGTAAACCTAGGTGTTGGCAGGGTTGGCTCCTTCTGAAGGTTCTTGGGTAGACTCTGGGCTATGCCTTTCTCATAGCTTCTAGTGGCTGCTGGAAATCCTTGGCATTTCTTGGCTTGCAGTTACATCCCTCAAATTCTGCTTCTGTCTTCCATGGCTGTCTTCCCTCTCTGTGTGTATCAGAGTTCTGATATCTTCCTAGGATCTTCTTATAAGTACAATAGTCATTAATTGAGGGCCCACCCTAACCTAGCATCACCCCATCTTAACTTGAATACATTGTCAAAGACAGCTATTTCCAAATAAGTTCAAAATTCTAAGTTATCAGGGTTTAACACTTCAGTGTATCTTTTTGGGGAACACAATTCTACACAAAATAGTCTATGGGGAACTGTACAAATATAAAGCAGTGAAGTTATGATTTCTGATAGTGATGATCATAGGTTACATAAAATCAGAATACAAACAAGTTACTTAACTGGGTTACCTCGATCTCTTCACATGCCAATTGCTTCTAGAAATCAAGTCAGTGAGGATTTTGTTTACACTCAGTGTCATGGATTACCAAAGTCATCTGAGTTTTCCAATTTTGGGGAATAGTCTGTTATCCTAAATGAGTTTTGATTTCCCCCAAAATCTGTGTCTTGCCTATCTTTGGAAATGGTGACTGCTGAAGACAGTTAAATTATCCTGGAACTCAAAAATAACCCATTTTCAAAATAACTACTAATTGTTTGACTGTCAGGCCCTGAGTCAGATGATTTATTCTTATTCAATGGCCTGCCTCTAGTGTGGCTCCTCCTGATAGCTCAGAACTGCTTCACTTGCACGTCGGCCCCACTAGCAAGAGCTAGGTTGTAATGCTGCATGACAAATCACAGCACCAAACTCATTTACTTCCGAACCACTGTGCAGGAGTCCCTTGATTTTAAACCAATCAGCATGATGCCTTCAATTGCCATTTCCTTAGCAAGTGTGAATTTGTGGGCCATAGTTCTCAAAGCCCTCAAGATATACAGTCTCCACAAGGATGCCAAATTAATATGACATTTAGGAAGGGCTCTAAGCTAAGAAAAATATCATTCCTAGGAACCTCCAAGTATCTCCCTCCCCAAACACATGAATTAATGATCCCATGTGTGAGTTGCAGGGCCAGGAGATGATGATAGCTGACAAGCTATCTTTGATTTATTTTCTCTTGTGTCCAATACACTTGGAAAATGATATTTTATTCTTTGCTAAATTGGAACCTCAATTCTACCAATGAATGTCTAAGGTTGGCAACTATCTACTGTTTTACTGTCTTCTTCTCTCATAAACATATCTGAAATGTTGTCTGCAGATCTAGCTTTGAGGATCAGCATCGTTCCAAGGTCAGGGCATGGCACAGAAGCTTCCTTGTTTCCATTAAGGATTGATGTAACTCTGGCCATTCCCCTCTATTATTTTATAAAAATCCCAGGATTTATTCAGCCCTTTCTAGGATCTTAAATCTTTATTTCTATCTATCATTTATCCATTGACCTATTTATCTATCATCTATCTGCAATAGTATGTTATTTTTTTGAATATATAAAATATTTTAATGAACTTAAAGTTTTGATAGACAAATTTGAAATACTGGAAGTATATATGGTGATAGATTTATTTCCAGAAATAGGAAGCATCGTTTTCTTCTTGAACTTCAGTTTTCCCAGTTTCCTTTTGTTTTCATTATCCCTGAACTTTTGAATTCAGT